AGAAGTATTCTATTTGCTGGTCTTAGTTGTGTTTTTTAAATTCTGCTAAAAAGCTAAGCAAACATTATAATACTCTCTGCAGCACCACATTAACCAACAGGTATTCAGCAAGAACAGACTCAATTAAAATAGATATGAAAAATATTCAATAATATATATGAATACAATAATTTGTGGTGTACAAGACTCGATAGTCTTCGCTTTTCTGCTTCTTTTGGGGGTGAACTTGCTGGATATAAATTTATGTTGCCACTTGTCAACCAAAGTCTTAACTCATCTTTCATAAAACGTTCACAAAACTAAATAATTCTCTGACACAGTTGTGAATGTGGACTCTCACCTGGATACTGCTTTGAATATTTCAGTACAAATGAGTTCCAAATAATTAATACTTCCTATAACTATATATGCTCAAAAGTGGCAGTTGGCACTATTATATACTGCAAACACGGTGATGTTTCATTGTTGCTAAAAGTTAAATGCAGTGTTTCAAAACTAGCAAGTACACTGGTATTCAAATGCTTAGAGGGTCAAACCTTTCAAAGCTCCTGTAACACAAAGCACTCTAGGGTTACACTGGATTTCTGATTACCCTAGTTAAAAGTTTTTCTATATTAAATTAGTAGCCCTTATCTTGTAAACCACAGCAGTAAATATTTGTGCCCTGTTTATAAAGACATAGCTCAGATATCAATGGCTTTGAGAGGTAGCAAATTCTCTAGTGGTTTTAGTATGCTTTCATGAAAATACTTGATGCCACAACCTATTACCTCTCCTATTTTCTTGAATAAAATTAAATTAGCACCTGGCTATGATGTTGTAGGAAATGAAGCTGTCTGGCGTGATCCTGATGAACAGTTTTAGCAAGAGCTCAACTTTTTGATGACGATTTCAAATGCTTTTTAAAAGCAAGCTGCAGAATTGTGTCACCTTTGCAGCAGGATTATTCACAGCTTGGACCGTCTGTACAGGTTTAACAGCTACGGGCACAGACGGCCAGCACTGGTGTGTGGCAATGGATGCACCCTGTGCCCCTCCATTGGGGGGACTGCCCCTGTCCCTGCCCCTGTTCCTGTTGGGAGCAGAAAGCAGGCTACCTTCCTCTCCCACATACCCATGCCCAGGGCGAAGAGCACTCAAGGACCAGCTAAGGGGATCCAAAAAGCATCACCGTGGGGCTGTGCACTCATCGGGGGCCACCCAGTGCTCCTCTGCCCCAAACCAGCCCCATCATCCAAACCAGCTCACACTAATTCTGCTTTCAGCAGCACAAGCCAGCTTAGGCACGCGTGTGCGCGCACACACACTCACACACACGCACGCACGCAACTTGCTTTCAGCAGCATGCCTGACATAGTTTTCTTAATGTTGGCACAAGAGGTTTCAGTAGTGGCGCAGTCAGCATCATTCCCTGTCAGAGGAGCTGGAGAATATGGTCCTGTCCCAGTTGGGGGATGGCTGGGGGGACAGATGTCCAGGGGCTGGCCCCTCATACTCCTCTCCAGCCCCGTTGTCTGCCATTTCCCCCCAGTATTAATGAGCTACTTGGGATGCATGTTTTTTGTGACTGCAAAACAATGGCAGAAGCCAGGGTAGGAAGGCTTGTCGTGAAAATAATTAAGTTCATATTGATCGTGTAACTTGTGAAAAGTACTTTATTGTTCTTGTTCAAGTGGGTATTTTATGCTATTAAGAGGAGGTTGAATTAGAAACTGACTCCTAGATATGGACCGTTTGGTGATAAGCAGTTTGAACTGTAGAATACAACTGGCTGTGGATAGAGCAAAGCAAGCCTGGCCTGGAAAAGCATCAGAGGTTCCATATACAGCAATTTGCCTACAGGTGTCCATGTGTTGCTGCGTGGACATGTGAGATCGGATGGTCCCACCGAGATTAAGACATCAACAAAACCAAGGTGTTTTTTTTCATTTTCCCTTTTTTTTTTTAAACAATATAATCCATACAATACAATACAAGAGGAATTGACAATACAGTACAATTTTAGAAATTCTTAATACTTGGACAAGAAAACCCTTCTTTTATATTATCTCTTCAACTCTCTTTGCTTCTTATCTCCTTCCTTTTCACTCTTTTATTGCCTTTCAAAATAGATTATTTCCCTGGAAGATCGAATTTACAATCTTCTGCTGATCGAAATGTTTAAGTAATGATTGATGAAATAAAAATGAGGCAGTTTGTGCAGCTGTGAGTGTGCAGGTATCTTTCCACAGGATCTTTTCTATCCCTCACCATCTCACCTGCGGGATATACTTCAACTTCTTCACCCCCCCCAGCGCTGTGTTTTTTTTTTCTCCCTCCCTCCCCACTCCCACCCCAGCCCCCTCCCCTTGTGTGACTCCTTAAATTCAGGTGAGAAGGTGTGATTCAGAGGTTTTGAATAAAGTGCGCCATCTGCTTTAAAAAAAACAGTAATAAAAAGAAGGGAATCTGAGTCATAGCTCCTTTCATCTTTTGTGAGGAAGACGGCAGAGTATGAAAGGATCACCCTGCATGACTGAAATTTCCAAAGTCCTCTACAGTTTGATATTGCTGTACACTGGGTAAACAGACTAGCTTTAGGTCAACTAAAGATCATGAGTAAGTTAAATGGAGCATCTACTGTACAGGTGCGTGGGTGTGTTGAAGTCTGAGCGCTGCGTTTATTTGTTTCAAACAGAAAAAATGAAAAAAGGATCGTACTCGTTTACATGAGGCAAAGTGGCAGCATCAGTACATGTGACAAAGCATCGTGATGACATGGGTGAACCTTCAGAAAGCAAGGGTGATTAGAGGACATCTCTCGGAGGACCGACAACTACGCCATGGCAGTGGAGTTCACTGGGAGCATCGGGGCAGCTGTGTACAGAGAGAGGGGAGGGGAGAGGTGGGGAGAGAGAGCGAGAGAGAGAGAGGAGGAGGAGGAGGTACGAATACTTCGTGGTGACCTTGAGCAGGAGCCTAGAGGGGCAGATTATACATGAGGCTTGTCTTGCCAGAGAGAGTCCTCCCAGTTGGATCCCTTCATAGCCTGGTCTGGGCTTCGGGGATGTATATCTCAATGCTTTCGGCGCTCTCAGTAGCTGAGTTCTGGCGGACCGATGCAGCGCGCTTGGCAGCCATCAGCCGTTTCCGGGCCTCTTGACGCTGTGAGCTTTCCAGAGAGCGTTCTCGTATGAGTGGCACCTGACCTTTCGATGGCTTCTTTGGCACTGGAGGAGGGACCCTTCTCTCCTGATCAAAGCAGAAGGTTAATGGCATTATACAGCTTCTCAGGGAAAGGCGGGAAAATCTAGGATATGTCAGTAGTTAGAACACACATTTTACCTAAGGTTTGTTAGCTTTTATCTGCCTCTCTGTCGTCAGTCAACTGGCTTTTGTGCTCAAGGGTTCATAAACATGGGGCAAGGGCAAAAGGGAGGGGTGGGCCAGTCGCAGTGCTACTTCTCCTCGGGTGTGTGTGAAACGCCAGGGCCGGGATCCCCACCGCCAACCGCTTAGTGCGGCTCCCCAGGGCGGGGGGGATCCAGGCATCTCCTCCCGGCGCCGGGGACTAGAAAGGAGAGCATTTCGGACGCCACCTCCTGCCACCAGCGTGGTCGCGTGCGGCTGGGGAGCGAATGCGGCTCTCGGCAGAGGAACTCTGGAGAGCCCCGACTCCTGGGCCACCCTCTTCTATACGTGCGTAACCACGCTCTTGCAACACGGAGATACCGTGGCCTTGGTGCTCCCAAATGCAGATGGGAACTAGCTGCCTGCAGCTGGTGGATCAGAATAAATACATTTTTAAAACACCATATATTTATGTATATATTTTGTAGTGGCTGAATGACCCCTCAAAAATCCCATGCTTTGAGTCTCACTGTGCAAGCTCATAAACTCTGGCCTCCTGCTAAATAGGCATGGCAAGCTACAATCAGCTAGAAATAGAAAAAACTGGTATGAAAAAGCTTTAAAATCATTAAGAGAACACACATTAATCATCATGGTGGCAGCGAGATCCAGATATGTGATCAACAAGGACTTTTATGTATATCTTGGTGCATTTACACACACACACGCACACACACACACAAAAACCCAACAGAAAAAACCCTCAGAGAGGGATCTCTCCCAAAAAAGAAAAGTGTATTCAGGTCTGAATTTCAGGCGGTCACAAAGACTTTGTCAAGTTAATTAGATTGTCTTTTAAGTTACATCCCCTTCCAACTGTGAACACGGTCTCTGAGCGAAGGGATTTTTATCGCACTACAAAGGTCCCATTCTGCTCTTTCGTTTTCTCTCATGCTGCTCACAACAGCTTCCATGACTCCAAATATAAAGGTGCTTAGTTACACTTATTCATACTTTGCTTTTTCTCTCCGTCCAAGGATTAATCTATGCTGTTTAAAAAGAGCCCAGCGGCAAAGGCCAAAGGCAACTGCAAATATCAATTCCACGGCAAGTTTTTTCTTCTTTTTTTTTAATCCTTTTTAAGAAAGGAGATGATCTATTTCATCTAAAATCATAGACAAATGCTGTTGAAACAGGAACACAGTCAGTGTAATTCTTTAAAATCTTTACTCTCCTACTGTAGGTCCCTTTCTTCAGAATTATGTAACTTCCTTTAACCTGTGATAGTCTTCTTTTCGTTGGGAACTCTTTGAAATGTTTTTCAGAAGCAAAGAAAAGGCACAATTTTTTTTAGAAAAGCTTTTGTTTCTTACTGTTGCAATTGCAAACACTCAGCCTACCTGCTTTACTGCAAAAGCTAATGAAAGACCATATACCAGCATTTTTGTGCATGCATGTTTGACAGTTTAAACTTCCTTTTCTGACAGATACTGAAAAAAAAAGAAGATAAGAAAATGACTTGCCTTCAGTACCTTGGGCTAGGAAAACACATTTCCATTCATTCCCCTACAAAACACACTAGGTGTACACAAATGGTGTGAACATGGCACTCCTAAGTCAGGAATGAGTACTTAGTCTTGATCGGAGGAGGAGGGAGAGTCCTACCAGCATTGCCTTTGCAAGCTTCCTGCTGCAAGATTAATGGGGTTTGATATTGTTATGGTTATTTGTCCAAAAGAAAACACCACTTTGGTCATCGGCAGCCATCTGACCATAAGTTGAGGCAGCCCAGACTCCAGTCTGAGCCACTGTACCTGAAAATTATGTTCCCCCTCCTTCTGGTGACCCTACCTGTTGGCTGTACTCATTGCTATCAGACCAGCCACAGTGGCAATCCAGCCATCAATTTACATACCTATAGGAGCGTGACATTAGACCGTTGATTCCTCTAGGAATGGGTCTGTCTTTTAAGGATTTTCTGAAACATTTGTGTATTTTGTCTCACCCAAGTGCTGTTTGTCTCAATGCAGATAGTGAGGAGAGAAATAAGGCAATGGTGCCAAATGATAATGGAAAGTGAAATGTGGTTCACACTTGAAGATGTGGTATTTTTTCATGGTGACAGAAGAAGACTACATTTAAAAAAAAAGACCAAAGCTCCAGATGATTTTTATGCTACCTTGGGTAAACAACACTACCAGCAAAGTGAACCTGTTAATGAAATCACCCATTAAAAAAAACCCAAATAAACAAAAACCCAAACAAACAGACAAAAAAAAAAAAGATGTAGAGGCTCTTTCATGTAACATTTTGGAAGGCGTATTTTTGATATCGCTCTGCTTGTAACCTGGTTACCAAAGTCAGCAATGGTTACAGTGCTTCCCTAGTTTTTTCAGTAATACAACCTAGAACTCTTGCTATATGCAATAATATGAACCGTAAATGTGATTTATTTAATTTTAAGAATCAATATATAAGGCAGTTCCTTCCAACGATTGATCATCTAATATGATTAAATGTAAAGCTTAACAAAGTACCACATTCCCATTATCCGAATCACAAAGACAGATTTGGTTTAAAAATATGCCTGAAACATATTACAGATAATATCCCAGACGATTATTATGTAAACATTGTTATTACAATGAAATTAATTTGATATGAGCTTCATTTCACATCTTTAACGTCAACGCTGTAACACAGAGGCCTATTTAATCTGTCCAGTATTTGTGCAGGGTTTTAAATGAAGCATACAAAATCTACAATGTTCTACCTTCTTGTCATGAGGATCCATCTGTTTCCAATTATTGGCCTTTAACTGATGAAGTTCATCAAATTTCATACTAATATTTTCTATGGACAACTGCAGCATATCCCAAAACCCTGCTAAATCCTGGGAGGTCGGCCGTGGATGTGCATTAGGATTCTGTGCAACAGAAGAAAAAAAAAACCACACATTGGCTTTAGTACCTCTTAATGCAAAGCATTTGTGCAAACGGTTGCGAATCTTACTAGCAAAGCAGTTTCAGCAGATCCAAGAGCTTGGTGAGATGCAGGGAGAAAAGCAAAGCAGAGCACTACTTACTGCTGGAGGGGTTTTGCGAGGAGTTCAGCTCTGTGTTGAGCCGCTGTGGCTCTGCAAGCTCCCTGCTCACTGAAGGCAGCGGCTACCCAGCACGGACCATGGGGAAGGGGCAGGCGGCAGGTCCCCTGTGACAGGATCTGCCTAAGGATGTTCCTGGGAACAACTGGTGGTATCCTAACCGCACTGAAATTAATCACCAGCCTTCGCTTCACTTGCATGAGGAAGGATACCCTGCCATGTTCACACTTGTCAAAAGACCAATACCTGTTCAAACACACATTTGCTGCATCTGCAGATAGTGATATACCGCTGTGTGAACACCTTTTCCACACTCCGAGAACCTAAGGTCTACAAAAATACACCATTTCAAGCAAAATTGTCTTACACACCTCAAGCCAATTTCTTAATATTTTTTGGCAAGAATAACTTCTGCAGGGTGAAAAGGTCAGAGGAAAACATGCAGAAGCACAGCAATCCCACTTTTACAGGTGTATTTTTGCGAAGAGTGAGGCTGGGTCCTATGTAGGGAGTGTTGCTCTGGTGTACAAACTCAGCCCAGTCCATCAGCCTGAGAGCATTGCACAGAAGGGCACACCTGGGCCATCAGCATCTCTAGAAAGGCATGGGTCAGAGGCTGGTGACCTAAGAGGTCCCGCTCTGTCTTTTGTCCCTTCAGTACGACCCAGCTCTGAACATTTTCTGCCTGCAATGGACACACATGAAATCATCCCGGCTCTACTGGCAAAGTTCATATAAGGGAAACTTTCCATAAGATATTTATCTGTATGCTGAGCAATCCCTATGCTAGTCAGCAAGGTTTCATGGGTGCTGTGGCCTCATAAGATTACATTGATATGTTTGTATTAATTAATTCTTTAATTATTATTAGAACCTTTCATATTGTTTTACATAGCTCAGGTTTTACAGTGTTTAAGTTTTCTCCCTCACCAGAAGCAATAAACTCAAAAGAGTCAGTTTCTTGCCTTACAAAATTTCTATTTGTGCTTTTTACAGCAACACTGAAGAATGATTTTAATAGAAAGATTATACCACCAAAGGAGCAATTGTTGAAAACAATATATTTTTAGATTCATAAGGAGAGCAAAGATTATACTTGAATTTCTAGTTTTTCAGTTCTTGACACTTGCAAGTTGCCGAATGGTAGGCTTTTATTTAAAAAGACGCGCAACCAGAATGATTTTTGAATTTTTATATTAAGAACTAGGCAGCTTATTCACACAGAGTGAATTTCTGTTGCATTTGTGATCTTAGGCAGATTTTAGTTTGGGGCTTGATTTCCAGAGGTGCATTACCAGAAGTGGAAGATGGTGACCCCACTTTGGTGAGTATCACAGGGTTTGTCTTCCCTTCCCTATTCTATACTGACAGAGAATAGCATTCTATGCATTCTGGGCTTCTAGCAATTTATGCCAAATTTAAGAATTAAATGCATTTTGTCTACTATGCAAGGATGGATTGTTAATTAAAAAGCTTTAAAATTTTTGTAAGTGCTAGTATTTTTGAGAATACTGATTTAGATACATGGTGTGAAATATATTTTTATTTATCAATAGGAATATAATTCAGATTCTACTACTACTACTACCAGCATAAAAATAGCAATGAATAATAATAATAGTGGTGGCATATACCAATTACATACAGTAATAATAATGATAACATACTGGCTCTTTTCCTTTTTGCCCTTTTAGCACTCTGGAAAATAATTTTTCTCTCTTTCACTATTGGGGTTGTGGAACATGAGGCACCAACTTTCAGTGTCTGATTTCCTGGTATTTCTATCTTGATTGATACAGGTGGCAATGGGATTACATGGGAATGCCCCACTCATGAGACTTCTGGTCCGCTCTGAAAGACCTTAAGGTCTTTTACCCAAACATTTCTGTGCCCATGCAGACTGAACTCAGAGGCCAAGGGACAGATCCTTGCTCCTCCCAAGTCAGTAGCAGAGCCTCAGTGATATCTCATGAAACTCATGCTGACTCTGCCAAATTTCATAGAGTTACTCCCAAATTCATATCAAGGCCTTTACTGAAAAACTACCATGTTAATCAGAAAATCTGTTTAGTCAGAAAATCTGTCTAGTTTAGGTATGATTATTCACAGGGTTAGCAAAAGGCACACAATGGTGTCTAGCAGAAAAGTTACATACCAGGTTTTCTTCACAAAGTTCTCTGAACTGGTAAAATTTCTGGGCCATGAGAAGCTGGGCACTGCCCACTGCAGTTCGTATTTTCCCTAGAACTGAGAGAAAAAGAAATGTAAGTCACAATGCTTTCTTTGCTGCCGGCAACTAAAAGCCAATAAAAAGAGAGGAGAAATCTTGTGAAGTAGTCGGCTCTGGCAGTCAAAGAGCATGTTATCTCTCTGTCACAGATTAGAGAGAAACTGATAAATCTAAGACCAGATCTCCACTAGGCAAGAATACTAATCTGTTGCCACATCTTACTCTCATTCTCCCAGTGAGACCAGTTGTAATCAGCAAAAAGCACTTCCATGGCAGTACAAATGTGGCTAATCAAAAGTTTTTGCAACCTGTATGAAAAGCTCACCAGAATTTCCTCCTCTTGTCACCACTGTGACCCAGGCCTAGGCTTTGAATACAAACTCAGCTCCTGGTGCAAGGACATGCAGCTTTCAAACTCAGAGATGCCTTCTACACTGTGTGGAAAACACTGCATCTACCAGCATTTCCGCCTGGCAATTCAGCACCTTGTTTTCAGGTTTAGCTGAGCGTTGCTCGATTTGAGCCCCAGAAAGGGAACGGTGATTTTAATGCACTTATTCGGACTTGCTGAGTATTTCCCATGAGCACAATCTGAAGCAGCTTCTGCCTTTGAACCCAGATGCCCAGGCATACTTCAGGGAGCAATCACACCTTGCTGGTGACCTGGAGGGAGGTGTCAAAGAGTCCTGGTCCAGCTCCTGTGCTGTCTGGGGGCTCCTTTGCACAGACAGCCAGGTACTTATGGTCTTTTTGGACTGACTGAGTGCTATGAAGGACTGCAGTGAACCAGAAGATAGCCCATAGTAAATGCCTCTGAATAAAACAGGAGCTTGTACGGTTTTGGTTGTATTCAACCTCACTGAAACGGTGGGATTTTACTGCTGCAAGGGGTAGTTGAGAATATGCTCCCTGAAATGGAGGCAATACACTGGTGTGTTCAGAGACCTGGGGCTTTGCCAAAATTCTGATTGAGAGGGAGCATATGTGTGTGTGCGCGCGCGTGCGTGCGTGTGTGTGCACACACGTGTGTGCATGTGTGTGCGTGCATGTGTGTATGTGGAAAAAGAAGCAAGCATGCAGAAACAGAGCAGAAAGACAGACAAAGCCTGGCAGTCGGACAGTGAATCCAGAAAAGAGAGCGCAATTTTGGGGACTGCTGATTGGAAGAAAATTGGTGCTGTGAGCAAGAAAGCAGCTACTGGTGTGTTTGAGATTTTCAGTGCTCAGGAAAAAGTCCAACAACAACTATGCTTTATACACTGTCTTTAAATAAACAGGCTGTCACCAGCGATGTAACTGGCTCCACCATCAATTTTCCCTCTCAGCTGAAACAATGTCTTATCCCCCAATTCTTTGGCTAAATATTTATTTTAAAATTAATATAATCTTAAACAAAATATTTGCCACTTCATTAATGAAAAACATGAATGGCAGCCACTGTGACACAGTTTTCACTATCATTTTTACTCATAGATACTTGGGTTGTCCCAGCCCTTATATAAACATAGCCTATTCGCCATGAGAAATTCACAGTTTGGATACATGAGGCAGGTGAGGGGGGAACAGGAAAAATAAAGAGGTGCAGTGGGCTGCTCCAGGCGAGTGAATTGTTGACAGAGCCTAAAAGAGATCCTGAGCTGCCGCTCTCTGTGCCATCCCTTGCACACAGTCGATTTTTGTATAAAACCTAATACAACATTAGCAGTGCTCCACTGGGAAAATGCTGCTAAGTATTTTGACTTACCATACTGAAAAATTAAAAGATAAATCAATAAATACAACTTTGCTATAACACCTCCTGGAAACAGTTTTAGGGCCTTTTGGTTCTGTGACTAGTCACAGTGCATGTCAGCAGCTTGCGACCAGAACACCACAATGCAGGGTTTGGTAAGAGAAAAGCCTCTCAGGGATTCACTTGTGTATCCACATGCTAAGCAAACACTCATGGTGAACTGAAACCAGACACACAGTAGTACAAAATCTGTGTTTTGCTCCTTCAGGGCAAATGACTTTTCCTTTAGCAGCCTTAAAGCTCACTCCATAAGGCTGCTGAAGGAAAACTGGGATATGGAGTTCATTTATACTTCAGACACACAAAGGAAAGAAAAAAAAAAAAAGGAGAGTGAAGAGAGAGTCTTTTCACTTTTTTTTTTTCCCCCCAGAAACTATAGGAGAGAGCTCTGTGAACACACACAGAGCCCAGACTTTCATTTTGTTCCCAGAACTGAACTCAGCATTGCCAGGAAATAGCCGTGAGCTGGAAGATTCACTAAGCAGAATATTTTCAGCATATTGCGCAGGGAGTTTTGCACACAACTCTCATTATTGTTAGCAAGGCTTGCGTGTCTAATTCTATGCGCACAGTGCTGAAAATGGACCCCTTGGTGTGTCTAGTCATTTATGCAACCCAATATGCAAACCACTCAACTGAAAGGACTCTTCAATAGTAGGAGGAGCTACTCCGGGAGCTTTCATGTGGTTCCCATTGTTATGAAAACTCTTCCCACTGAGTATATTTGGGAACAGCTGCCTCATCTGGAGCTCGGCCACTCCGATGCTTCCCAAGACTTGAGAAGGGGAGAAAAAACGGTTTCTCGACTTCTTGGGACAAGGAAAAAAAAATACAACGAGGCGGGCTCTTCCTGGAAACCTGCACCACCCGAGTTGGAAATCACGTCCCAAGCGTGAAGAAATGTAAATACACCTTGTTAGTGATGGCTGGGAATGTGTCCCTTTCTTTGGGGGGAAGAAGAGCTTAATATGCAGAGATCTCAGCAGAGGGAAAAGGAAGTCCTTGTCCTTGGCTGCCTAGCGACTGGCTACTTGCCTAAAAACCATCATCCCAGCTGACTGTGGGATGCATGCTGATGCTGTTCTCTATTGTTGCCACTTCTGCTGTAGCTGCGGCTGTATCTAGTCAAGTGTCACTGATTCCTCGCCCCTCAAAAGCAAGTGCGTCTGTTAATGTGCAACCAGTCAACAACCAACTCCGTCACGGAAGTTATTGGGGAAAAAGGGGGGGAAAAAAAAAAAGACAAAGCATGTGAAAGACTGAAAGGAACCTTTCCAGAAGGCACAAAGCCTTATCAATAGTTTTGTTTCCAAACGCACGCATGTTGCTTTTAGTGTTTCAAGGCAGAGTGCTCGTTTTGCTTGCTCAGTCAAAACCTCCGGTGCCAAAATGAAAGGCCAAGATGTAGTAAAAAAACCCAAAAAGTAAAAATAGACTGATACATTCTGAGGAGAAAATTTTGCAAGGTTTGAAACCAGATACCAAGACAATAAGTGGAATTGCAAAGATAATGCTCAAAATACATGAGAAAAGAATTAGAGAAATCTTTAACAGCAAGGGAGATGTGGTACAGGAAAAAACAAACATTCAAATCCATGTGTTCAGCTAATAAGATGCAAACAAAATGTATAAAAGCAAGCAACAACAAAAAATACCAACCCATCAAGATGCAATCAAAACAGTCTTAAACACCTATTTAATGTAATTCATATCTGCTTTCTGTTCCATGCAGAGTTATACAGCACACTCAGCACTGTAGGATCTGAATGCCTTCCAGTAATGCATTAAGCAACATTATTAACATCCATCATATGCTTTG